AATGTTTATCTTTGGGACGGCTTACTTGATAACATCTTATCTGTACACATTGTACTCTGTCGGTTCTGATATAACGGGTGATAAGCTGTCACAAACGATACTTTGCGCAACCTTTTTTAATAGTGATATACATATGTTAACAATTGTAATCCATTAAAAAATGCTAGTTCATACGAATATACAACTGTGATTGTTAACGTGTGCCAATAAGCCATTTAAATGTTTTATCAATATTTCCAAACATGTATATTCTCCCGACGATTGTACTGCAGCTTTCCTCTCTGTGTTGAATAAGTGACATCATCAATGTTGAGTTTCAGTAACAGATACACTGATAATAGTAGCATTTACATGAAGCTATTTGTTCAAGGGTTGAATGAATCGAGTGTAAACAATTGTTTCAATTAATAAATGTATAGTAATATCCGGAATGTTATAACAATTCTTGACAATCATAAGTACTCATCTAATAACAACATGCGATGTTTTCTCCATATGTAACCAAACGAAATTAAGATGAAAACTGTTTAACAAAAGAACAAATGACCATTCAAGAGCTAAATAATACTTAAATCTTATAATAAAATTATTTACAAATTTACCAATATGCCCAATTCTTGAGCAAACCAAGGAAAAGTATTTTGTTCTTAATTTCACTGAGCCAGGTGTGTTTTGTTCTGGATCCAGACTCTTCAATATCATATATCGCAGCATGTTCTCATGAGAGTACATTGAATTTGGCATGCATATTAATTTCGTCCAATATTTGATACATTTCTTTGCTGTATAAAAATAATACAGGTATCTACCACATTCACCAATTACACTATTATTCGGCACTCTTACAGATACACCAAGAAACAATCTGCAAGCAAGATACTGAATTCTTTCCAGATGATCATACTTTTGGAAGTCACATATTTCCGCTCCATACGTCAATATTGAAAGAACTGCTGTGTCAAATATTTTAAAATATATATTAAATGACAATGTGTCTAACAGTTTTATAGACCTATAGTAATTTCGTTTGCTGTGCCAATAGCTTTCTAGCCATTGTCCACTGGAGTGTACATGAGGAAAACGTTACACCAAGATATGTATAATATACAACATTTATTATCCTCATCACCGCGATAACACATGGCCACAATTTCTCTCTTTTAGATAAACGGCCACCTTCCTTGAATACAAAAAAAAAATTGTTTTGTCTAAATTTACCGACATCTTTCAACGATCACAATACAGTTCAAGCTTATAAATGAGTCTGAAAATAATGTCACATTCTTGGCAGCAAATAGAAATGTTGGATACCATGATGGCTAGTATAATTTAGCTCAAAGATAGAAATAAAAGCATACACATTTGGCGGACACCCATGGAACACGGGAAATATTTTGTATAACTGAACATAAAATAAAATCATTAAAAAACCATCGCTTTTTTATGGTAGACGGCGATGCGATATTATCAAATAACGAATACAGGCGGCGCTCTTCAATGCTATATTTGTGCTTTTCGGCGAGAAAACTCCACAGCAATAATATATGATCACGCATGCGTGATAACGACGTTTCTCTTTCACGTATTTGTAGTTTTATTTTGGAATTATATTTAAATTTGTTCACGTCTGTCGCCAGAAATTTAGCTCCAAGGTCATTATCGACCATCTAGATTGTGGTCAGTCGCCGACTGAAAAGTACATAATACTTGTCGACGCCATCGATGTCCGAGGCCACGGTAGTGGTGATTGGAGCCGGAATAGCTGGTTTATCTGCTGCTAAGGAATTGATTGAAAATGGTATTACTGACGTAAAGCTGTTAGAAGCGAGTGACCGAATTGGTGGACGTATTTTACAGTGCAAAGTGGTAAGCATCTAGGGGAGGTTACTGTGTCGGAGGAGGGGGGGGGGTGCACTGAACTACGGTAAAATAAAATGTAGTTACAGAGAGTAAAGGCGATTCAACTGTGGTGTGAAAAAATAAACTAATAAATACATGTATTTGATATTGAATAAAATATTTATTGTACTATTATTTGAAAATACATTTCAATAATAAATAATAAAAACAATAAATTTTAGTACAATATTTTCGTTATTTCATCATGTTTTTATTATATAAACATGCTCAAATTCAACTGCCTCCTTGAATACTGGTAACTTATGTTGTTGGTGATGAGGATAAAAAATCATCAATGAGTTGACAAGCATCACCTTTTTAAAAACGCCTATATACAACGATAGAAAGTAAAAACTATGAAATTGGTTTAAAAAAAATGTTCATAACAATCTTGGTCGAAAGAGGTTAACTATGGTTTGTGTATTGATTTCATTAATGTCATTTTCACAAATTCTCCTATTTTCAGTGTTATAAATTCCCACAAATAATGTGATAGACACCAGGGATACCAACTCTTAATAGTTAGTGATGAAAAGTTGGTGGACTGTTAAAATCAGCAAAAGCAATATGCAGTATAACACTGAATAATGATGTGTTTCATTGACACAAATACATGTGACAAAAAACATAGATACCATGGAACTACAAGGGTGGTTTGTAATTTACACTTATTAAAAATCTATATTCTGTTAGGTATGGTAATTTTATTGAAAAATGTAGATTAAAAGTCCCAATGATTTTGGATACCTTTTTATATTTTTTGAATTTTTACTTTCACCAGAAAATTTTGTTTGTTTTTACTTACAGATATAGAATGTGAATTGAGATCACTATGACTGTTATGTTCAAATATGTTACATAAAATCTCTGGAAAAAGTGAAAAGATCTGATGAGTGCCTGCTGAGAAGTATTTGTTTGATTGATTGATCAGTTTGATTTTAATCAATATTATATACTACTTTGCATATCAATAGATGCATAGTGTAGTTGCTATTATTTTTATGGTCATGAAATCTTGACGCCCGGGAAATTATAGATGATAGTAAAACATCTAAAGATGTTCTAAATACCTGACTGTGTGATTTATTAATTGTTTAAAATAGATTAATTAGATATACTTATATATACTACATGTATTATAAATATAAAAAAGTTCATTTTGAGCAACATATGCCAAAAAACAAAACAAAAAAACATCCTCATCCTCATCCTCAATCAGCAACAATATTCAGGACTTTAACTTCAAATTCAGAATGAGTATATTAATTAAACAGACTATGTATCAAACATACATACAATACCATATCTTGGTGTTGACGTAGCTGCTGACTTATTTTCTCTGCAGGGGGTTCACCTCTTGTTGCATCTTTATTTTTCTGAAAATTAAAAGCTATCGGTAATGGTGAACTTCACCTTTCTCGCACTTTTTGGGCCGTATCTCTTGAGATGGGTACTGCCGGTAAAAAATTTGCCTTGCACATATTTCTAGTATTTTGGCGGATGATATTTGAATCTAATTTTGGCTTCTTACTCGGTGGTTGTATTCCAAAAATAAAAAAGATATAATATTTAAGGGCCGGTGAACGATGCATAACAAAGAACGTGAAACAATAGTTGATCTCACCTTTCACCTGATCAAGTCATTGCCCGTGCATAATTATTATTTTAGTTGCTAGACTCGCATAGTTGAGTTGCAGTGCGGCGTAACATATCCACCCGTATTGCCACTGTTAGTATAACATTTCCATATCATAGAGTGAACATATGATGTTGTATCGAGAATAAAACAGCAAGCAGCAAATATTTGTTTAGAATAAAAAATACAAAGCGAAACAGGTTTACTAGATAGTTTATTACTGACGCTAATTATATAACCTACTGCTCAAAAAATTAAATGGCAACCGAGCAACGACGTTACAAACCTTTGTGAGCCCGGCAGAAAACTTGATGGACTTGGGCGACCGGTAATTTTAAACATTGCCATTATATGTAATAAAGTACTCAAATTATCATTATTTACAAACATTAACAATAATTATTTGTATATCATGCATCTCCATGCTCAATTTGATTGAGGAATAAAGGACAATGCACTGCCTATTATTGTGCGATAGAGCAAGAACAAGCTCAAGAACTGTCCAGTTATCATCTAAAAACAGGGCTGCACATGGTACGAATTGACCAATGAGAATGTGCCATTTCATTAATGGGCATAATACTATAATTCTAAATAACCATGGAATGAAAGAAAAGCGATTTATTATTCATAAATACTTTTTTTTGCATTTTTATTGTATTGAGAATAAAATGTTTTCAGAAAATGTAATAACATATATTAATTTAGAATATTTATAATTGACAATAGTCATTATGGTTTCTTTACCAAAACCGCTTCCATGTGAACTCAGAAACATTCAAAAAAGTGACATGTGTTTGTATTATTTGAAAGTGAAACATTTTACTTTTTCTTGTAGAGTTCGTGTATATATACTGTGCTATTATGAACATACAATTTTTTCAACAATGATATCTGTGACACCAATGTGTGCATTTTAATAAGACTTGATATATAAATGCCTGTGGACGAAGCCTGATTAATTTTAGATTGAAGTTCAAGCATACTAATTGCCTAATTTGCATAATATGCATAATCATCACATTGCATTGAAATTTGGTACATGTATACGCTCTGGGGGTAATCCACAGAGATGATCTAATCTAATCATTATAAGCCATTAAAATTGAACTTGGGTTGAGGTGGCTGAAACAAATTAAAATGCAAACCACACAATCAGTACAATCAGTATTATAAACTTCGTTACTGCAAATTGCATTGTTTTCATGTTGTGCATCTCAAATAGCAAACAAATATTAGTTGCCAAACTTTTTGTTTGAAAAGCATCTTAAATTTTGAATTAATTTTTAAAAAGCTTCCAATGCTCTCTGCACATAGAAGCGCTTTCAAAGCATTCTTTGATTACTTATTTAGTGAATAACTTTTCAATTTCAGACTCAGGTTTACTGGAGATGGGAGCTAACTGGATCCATGGCACCAGCAATAATCCGGTACATGCTCTGGCTGCACAACACCAACTATTCAACAAGAAACTGTCTGTGACAAGGACTCAGTCTAATGGAATTCAAGCTTTGACATCGCAAGGAACTCAGATAGATTCAGATATAGTGGAAAAAATCGAACACTTTTATTACAGTAGTCTTGATGAAACCAAAACATTCCATGAAAAAAATAAACATTCTGATAAGTCATGTGAGCACAATCATACAGCAAGTGTTGGTGAATTTTTGAACAAAACTATAATTGATTATTCAAAATCATATTTTTTGACAAAACAGGAAAAATCATTTTACGAGTGTCTTTTAAACTTGGAATGCTGCATAAGCGGCTGTAATTCAATGAATGATGTGGCTTTGATTCCATTTGGGGAATATGTGGAATTACCAGGAGAGCACAGGATATTACCATCTGGGTATGAGTCACTTATCAAAGCCATTCAAAAAGGAATCCCCCAGGAGAAAATTTGGATTAATATGACAGTGTCAACAATACATTGGGGTTTATCAAAGATCACGTCAAGTAAGATTGCTGAGTCTAACTCCGGAGATAACGTTGAGGTTCCAAACATCCATCATCATAATTGCCCAGTATATGTTCAGTGTGAAGATGGAGTAACTCTTCCAGCTGATCATGTCATTGTTACATCTTCTCTTGGATTCCTAAAAGAGCATGTTGAGGAATTCCTGGATCCTCGTCTTCCAGATGATAAAATCCAGGCAATCCGGGCACTTGGTTTTGGCACAGTTGGCAAGATTTATTTGCATTATGATGTCCCGTGGTGGTCAAAGAGTTTCACTTGCTTCCTGGTTTGGGATGAGGACACTGAAATTCAACCTGGTGATGCAGTGAAACAACAGGTGACTCCATTTCATGCATGTAATTAAGACATTTGACTTAGACAGCCATTCTGATTATATAATGGATCTAGAATAAGCCGATTTT